CGGCTGCCGCTTCTCATGCAGTGTCTGGGGCATCCCTCCGCCCCTCCCGCGGCATTACCGCCCCTCTCATGGGGCCCCGTGGGACAGGGAGGTGGGCCCTGCACAGCATGTTATGCCCCTGGGTCATGGGGGCTCAGCAGTGCAGGCTGCTTTGCCCCGAGCAATGGGGGCTCAGAGAAACCAGAAGCGCTATGGTGGGCACTTCCAGTTTCACTTTATCTTACAAGCTGGCATGCCAGTTAGTGGAGCATGCTGGCTTGTAAGATGCCAGATAACAGAACTTCTACTATAAAGAAAATCTGCTGATGGTATAGAATTGAAAGGCACCATCCATAGGGATCAAAAGAAATTCCATTTCACATAGGAGGAACGTTAAGACCTTGACAAATGGAATAATTAGAAAAAGGATTAACCTTGATGACACTGCACGTGTCTACACAAGATGCTTAATGGCCATTGGACTAATTCTACCGTGCATTAGTGTGGCTGGCATAGCACATGCTAATGTGCTAACACACAGTAGATTAGTCCATTAAGCATCACACAAAAAGCATTCATCTGTGCCAGTGTGCAGTAACTTTAGTCCAATGCACATTAAGCAACACACAAAAAGTGTTCATCTGTGCTAATGTGCAGTCGTGCTGATTACAGGACATTAAGTTAGTACCTGTTACAATAGGTAAGAACAGGTACTAACAATCCACTGTAATTCTAAGAAAGAAAAACCCTGGGAATATGAGCTGGTCACAGGACAACTGATAAGCAATTTCCAGAAGTATTTATACTATCGTTGAGAGTAGGTGAGAGCATGCTGACAGCCAACCTAATCCTATAGGAAACTTACATTTGGCACTTACCTACTCCTATGGTAATCTTACATTTGAGTGCTTATTGCATGGGAGGTGCACAGACACTTAGCATGTACTTACCTTGACACATGTAAATAGTCCTGTTAAGCATTTGTAAGATTTGGACCCTATTTTCTTAATGCTAGTTTGGATTCTCATCTTATTTTAGGATTTTAGACTTGCATCCTCTTAATCTCCACTCACTTGGGACATAAAATCTGTCACCCCAAATGGTCTTTATGGAGTCTGAGTTGCTTATTTATTCAAGAAAACAAACAGGACAAGATATAAGGGATTTTACCAATGTTTACTCTTATCACCCCAGCTCAGAAAAATCCTGCAAGTTACAAAACAGAAAAAAATTCCTTTAAATTTAAAGTTTAATGATTACAATTAAGGAATTAGCTGTTGGGTCACTTTTTCTCTGATACGCATAGTCTATGATGCTAAGTTCTTCCTATCCATATCTAAGAAAACTAATCAGGCATGAATGGGCCAACAGAGGAGTTTATGCAACTCTGATTTCTTAAAGAGGCATATAGTTGTTTCTGTGAATAGATAGGCCCCACCTGTGTTGCCTGTGACTCTTCATCAGTTGAAGCTGTGTATTATGTTTGGTGCTCTGTTTTTGACTGCAGCTTTCTTAAAAGTAAATTTATAGGAAGAAATGGATATTTACATTTATCTGTACTATTTTATGTTACTATTTCTCCTTTCTCTTGAGTAGCCTACTTAAATATGAAGTATATGTCATGTAGTTTGAAGGAATTTGCCCTAAATTAATTATTGAGTTTTCAGTTATTCATCTAGACTTTGTAGTGGAATTACCTGGTTCTCTTCCCTGCCTGCCCCCCAACTTGTTTCTAGGGGAACTATAGGGACTGGTGCTAGCAGGAAGAGAGCAACATATTTTTCTCTCTTGCCCATCTGGACTAGAAAAACAAGACTTCTTCACCCCTGAGGAAAACCATACCCAACCCTTATCCTCTGTGTACATAGAGATTGGTCAGGAGAGCCTGCAGCCGGGTGACTTGGAGGACTGAGGACTCAGCACAGCGTGGGAGCACAGCAAGGTGTAGTGGGGCTATGTTTGCCCCACAGTGGAGGGGGCAGGCAGTGCAGTGAGGGCCACACAGCACTGCATGCAAGAGGCAGGGGCACTAGCTCAGCATAGTAAGGGAGTGACTGCTACACAGCATGGTGCGGGTTGCCCACCCAGCTCTGCTCTACAATGTTTCGCCACTCAGAAGTTGGACAACCCTATCTTCAATTACAGTCGTTCTGTGGACACTTGCATTGTTCTGTGGTATTTCCAGTAAAACCCCTATTACAGTCACCAAGTGACATCTTGCTGGTCAGCTGTCTCTGAAGCTGTGTTCTTGGTTTTGGTTTGGACTTGGCTTTCCTCTTTTTCTCCAGGGTAAATCCTGTGTAAAAAAAATAAACCTACATTGCTACAGAAATCCTTTAAGGAAAAAAAATATAAAAACTAGCAGAAGTGAGAGAAAGCTTGGAACGAGTAGTAGGTGGGGGTGTTTGTAGTGGGTCTGACTGAATTGCTCTGGCTTTTGCAGCTGTAACAGACTTGACTGCCTAAGCAAGTCTAGGGCTAGTTTAGGTCCTCACTGAATAGGATAAAACAAAAATGAAGTGGAACTATTTGTCCCATATTGCAATAATTACTGGCTTACAAATTCAATCACGTATTTAACAAATTTGCCTCAAAGACTTCACCCTCTCTTTCAGTGTCTGAGGCTGACTCCATGGACTAACTCTTCTGGGTCTATACTTGGGGGGTGGGGATATTTTGGTTAGGTCCTGGTCTACCCAAAGACTGAATAAAAAATTGCTCCCTGTTTGTTTCACTTCTTCTGTTTCCCTGCTGGTCTCTGTCAAGATACAGATGAAAAGAAAGTTCACTACGATGATCATCTGAAAGACTGTGCTTATCCCAGGCCCACACTTATGAGGGGAAAAAGTGGACAGAAAATATGTCTGTGACACTACTTGTAAAAACAACATTTTTGGTTCGTGGGAAAGAAAAAAAGGGATAGCCCCCAAATTTTTATTTTGTGGGTTTCCCACAGGACACTGGAAAATGTGTCTGAGTAAGATGCTTCTAATGTTAACTTTCTCTTCACATGTTTTTAAATGTGCACACAGCCATGTGTCTTGGAAGTAAGGATGGGAAGGATAACACCTGGATGCACACCAGAAAGCAGTACTAACCAGCTGACTTATATTCCACTATTGTAGGATCACTGTTCCATCCGGCTCAACCTTTTCCTGTAGATAAACAGAAACCAGGGGTGGCTCAATGACAAGCATTACGCTGTTTTCTGTCATTTTGTCTTGAAGGCTAAGTACAGACAGTCAAAAAGCCCAAAACTGAATTGATTCAATCTTTGCAGGTTAGTCTACTCTGCCAAAATTGAACTGATAAGCCAGTGAACAGACATTCACTTTTGATTCTGGAAATGCAGCCACATGGCTGCAGTGGCTCTGGCCAGAAGCTAGGGGGCACGAAAGCACACATCCCTGCTTAATAGGAGCAGACATCTTGGGCTAAGCCTAACCTGCCCATCCTGGGAGGGTCCTTTGGGGGAGGTGCAAAGCATCCTGGGATGCTGGGGGTGAGTTAACATGAATTTGAAGGGGATTTGAGACAGAAGTTCAATAAACTGATTTAACTTAAATCAGCTAAGTCTCATACTACATCCTTCCAGGTTTATCTTAAACCAGTTTCACTCATTTTGAAAGTGGTTTATATGTACTGAACTTCTGGGCTAAGTGCAGACAGGCAAAAAGCCTAAGGCTGAATCAATTCAATCTTCAAATGTTAATCTAAACTGCAATGATGGAACCAATCAGCAAGTGAACAAACATTCACTTTTGATTTTGGAGATGCAGCCACATGACTGCAAGCGGCCTAGGCTAGAAGACGGGGGTTGGGGGAGAGGGTGGTGCTAGAACATCTTTCCCTGCTTGGCTGGAGCAGACAGCTTGGGCCATGGCTAGCCTGTCCAGACTGCAGGGGGGTGGGGGGCAGGTGTTGCAGGGGAGGTGCAAAGCATCCTGGGATGTTGGGGGTTTGTAAGTTAACTTGAATGTGGATGGGATCTGGCACTGAAGTTCAATAAACAGATTTAACCCAAATCAATTAAGTTTTATACCACATCCATCCTGTTTTATCTTAAATTAGTTTCAGTCATTTTGAAAGTGGTTTATGTGCACTGAACTGTTGTGTTACAGATCTGAATGAGTTTCCAATCACTTATGCCAGTTTATGTTTAACTTCTGTCCCTAGCCTCGTTGTGTTGCAGATCTGAACTGGTTTCTGATCACTTATACCAGTGCGTATAACTTCTGTCCCTAGCCAAAATGCTTCCAATGCAAAAATGAACCTACAAAATCATTAGGGGGCACTGTGGAAACAAAGAGAGATCCTCTTTCATGGATTCATGTGGAAAATGTGATAGGTTTTGATTAAGGTTTTAGCTTAGAATGTTTGTATTGCATTGAACAGTGTCCAATACGAAATGCATGACATTCAGGAAAACTATTTCCTGATGCCTGTGTGAACTGAGAGCAGTGGGCTTTACTCGGCGCACACAGCTTTACACACTGAAGAATGTAACCAGGTCCACAGTCTGAAGCTAGAACCAAGTAATGCATGCAGCTGTCTTCATTTGGGGTATAACAAATTACTGACTCCAACTGACTTTGCCCCAGGGCCAAGTTTGCACAGCCCCCTTTATATCTGAGCTTAGCTAAGGGTTTTTTTGTACACAGATGAATCTGGAGCCAGAGACCCTGAAAGGAGTATGGGTGTTAGGGGTTAGCAAAGCAACTCGATAGGCTGCCTGCTCCTACGCTTCAGTGTCTGGGAGGAAATTATCTCCCTCCTATCTCTTCCTTTGATTCAGGTGTCTACCCCGAGGCAGCAGCTGTTACCACTTGAGAGCCAGGCAAACAAGCTGGAGGACAGCATGAGCTATGCTGCCTGCTATGAGCTCAGCTTGGACTTTCCGGAGCCTCTTAGGAGCTTGGAATTTAGCCAGAGGGAGGAGTTGGCTTTTCCCCCCTTCCTGCTGCCCAGGCCGTGCGATTGGGTGGGAGTCTGCCTGGCTTGCTTATAAAGGCACTGTCTGACTCATTTTCTACCAACTACTGAAGCAGCAGCAACAGCTTTGCTCTGACCGGGATTAACAGGCTCCTAAAGAATATCTTTAAGTGGCTTATATGTAAAAAGGTAGGATTATGTCTGTGTGTGCGGTGAGCTCTGTTCAAGCAGAAATCTTGTCAGTAAAACAGTGAGAGACTTTCTATAAGGACTCTAGAGCTGTTTAGCCTGGCTTTAAACTTTGAATGCTAGAAACAAATTAACTTCTGTGGGACAATACTTGATTTTTTTGTAGGATCCTGTTGGCTTATTGTGTTAAAGGCTTTTACTATGAGGTGATGAGCTGTGTGTATGCTGTGGAAAGAGAAATCTATCCTGATCCCACAAATTGGGGATGCTGGTAGCTGTGCTGTGGAATAAAAGGGACCAAAATGCTAGTCAGGGCTCTGTTTTGCTGTAGCAGCTCGGGAGACACCTTATGTGCCTCTGCTTCTGTTTTTCAGGTGAACTTGCCTTTTTCCGGACTGCCTCCCAGCTGCAATGATGTGGGTCCTGGAGAAGATCAGAGCATCACCTATAAATGGAAACTCACAGAGTCCTTTCTTACAGGCAGCACCAGACAAAGTCTGGGGAGGTGCTGCTGCTTATCCCAATGTTTTAACCCCTGACAAGATCCCCGAGTTCTGCATCCCCCCCAGACTGACCAATCCTGCAGGTGGTCCTGATGTCTCTTGGCACCAACGCCCCTCTGGAGACTGCAGTCTGTGCCCCTCTGGCAGAGCTGATCGCAGCCCAAGCCGGTTCTTGCCACATCTCATCCAGGTAGAAAGTGCCGAGGAGATTCCAGTTCTGGAGGAAGAAAACACCAATTCGGACCCACAGTCCCAAGCAGCATTGTCCTTGCCCCACTTTCCCAAAACCCAGACTTCCTATGGATTCTGTACCTTACTGGAGAGTCCCCACATCAGGAGGAAGGAGTCCATCTTCCATAGTGACCCAGGCAGTGGTTCTCTTCCCAGCTTGAGGCTACCTAGACCGAGGGCCAACACTTACAGCAGCAAAGGGTCTGTTTCCAGCCCTGTTGCAATTGGCTCTGCCAGACTGCCTCCTAAGCATCTGTACTTGCCCAAGCAAGGCACTTTTGACAGTGACACTGCTTCTTCCACTGACTCTTCTCCTTTCAGCTCACCACTTCTTAGTAGATCTTTTCCCAGATCCTGCCCCTTGCTCAAAGCTCGGAGCCAAGAGGGGCTGTTGTGCAGAGCATTGAAAGCAAAGAACAAATCCAGCTTGGGAAGAAATAACTCTCTATCAACTGATGAGAGCAGCTCTAATGATAACAGTCCCAGTGCTACCAGGAGGTGTTCAGAGGGGCTGCTTGCTCCACGGAGCTTCAGTCTGTCATGTTCACCTATCTTCCCACTGGACCTTACCTGTGGCAAAGAGAGGCTTGCTGGAGAGAGCACCATCTTACTGGATCGGGGAGGACTGTTGCGACTTTCAGCTGAGTATTGTTCAGAAAACCGAAGGCTTAGGATCCGTCTGATTAATGCAGAAGGCTTATATGATGCATCTGTGGAGTCAAAAAATATAAACTGCTGCATCACCTTTTCCCTTGTGCCTGGAAAGATTCAGAAGCAGAGAAGCACTGTCATAAAGAGAAGCAGGAATCCCATTTTTAATGAGGACTTCTTCTTTGATGGCATTGCAGAGGATGACCTTTACAACTTTTCTGTGAGGATGAAAGCTATGAATAAAGGGTGTAATATGAAAAGAGACTGCATCTTAGGTGAAAGTGAGTTGTGTTTGATGAATATTTTATCTATATAAAATGCCAAATAACTTTTTTTTTAAAAAGTGCATATAATTTATTTTTGTATTCTTAAAGTGCTTTTTATTTTATTTTTTTTAAATAAAGAATATTTTTAAAGAGATGCTTTTTGTTTTGGTGTTATCTTGCAAGGCCCCTAATATTTTTCTTCTTGACCACTTAGATTGCAAAGCCTTAGCTTTGCGTGGTAGTGTTGTTAATTACACTCATTCGATGCATTTACTACTCTGTAGAAATTGCTTTGGAGAAAGTATTATCCATCACGCATGGATGGAAGTGAAAAAAATCTTCCTGGAAAAAGGTTTCCTTTCCTCTTTAGAAAGAAGGGTGTAACACTAAAGCTAAGATTGTACTGTAGAACCCTGGAGTGCTGCTTGATGCTCTGAAGCGTGCTGCAAGGTGTGGGAGGTGAGCTCAAGCTCAGGCTTGTTCCTGCTTGGCTGATCACCTACCCCAACTCCCTGCCACCTCTGCAAGGAGGCAAACACTGTAAAAGATCAACTAGTTCTTGAAACTGAGTGCCACTCAACTAACAATAGTGATGGAGGGGGTGCCTCAAGTCCAAAGAGCCTTAGAACCTGGGGCCTTCTGGGACTTCAGGAACTCCAGCCTAAAAATAAAAATCTGGCACTGATATTTTACACTGACTTAAATTCTATAGAAGGAAACATTTTACTGTGCCTTGTGCTGTAAGTTTTGACTTCAAAACCCAGTCCTTTTGTATAGCAAAGTGAGAACTGTGAAACCCAAAGCAGAACATTAGGAACTGAACCCCTTAAAAGAGATGCATTCCCCAGAATTCATATCAATGAGATTAGTAGCTGATGGAACAGGCAGCAGTTGTTTAATATAATAACCACCAGATGACCAGTGTCCTAACCTGTTCAGCACTTGGAAGGGAAGCGGCTGCTATTAAGACTCCAAATACTGACCTACAGTACAGAGCCCACTGTAGGTCTGCACAGGACCATTACTAACTATAGCATATCAGTCTTTGTCCAGAGCTGTCTCTGAGCCTTCCAACTGAAGGTGTTTGGCAGTAATGATGTGACAACTAGTATCTGCTATAGAAATATTAATGGGGAGAGGAAACAGCAAAACAATGATATTGAAGCAATGTTGTAGTTGCATCACATCATAAAGCAAAATACGTGATGCTTTGTTGGGAGATGGTGGTATCGAATAGATTATGGATCTGGGTTTGGGATTCTGGACTGAATCTGGAAATGGGACTGAATTCCTGGTTCTACTATGGGGTTCCTGGGTGACCTTGCCCTCCTCAAATATTTGTTTGTTTCCTATCTACAAAACAGAACACTTTCCTACTACTAGAGCAGTTGTAAGTAAACTCATGAATATCACAGATAAAATCTGGAAGAGAGGTGGCACAAAAAGTCTGGACGGTGTATATCGGCCAGTTGTTTCCACCTTCAGCTCTTCTCTGTTCATCAGCTTTAGGGAGCCAGTGACAGTGACCAGCTCGAAACAAACGCTCTAACTGAAAACATAGCTCTGTGCAAGAAGTATGGGAGTACATCCAGGAATCCTGTCCTGGATTCCCAGGTTGGTTGCCAACTGCCTTTTTGACCTTCATTAAGTCACAAACTCCCAGTCTGAAACAGATAAAATGTTCTGCTTGCATGTTTTGTAAAGAGAAGCATTCAGCAATGGTACAGGAAGAGGAATTGTTCCTTTGCTCATTGAATAGAAGTAAAGCTGCACATAAAAGGTTTCAGACTTATATCAGTGGCAGCATTTGCTCCTCTCTTTTTTTTTTTTTCCACCCCAGTTTGGTTTCTAACATAATTCCTTAAATAACTGACTGCAAATTACAATACTGTTCATGGGTGAAAAGGGGGCTATGAGAGGGTTGATTCTGTTTTGCTATAAAACAGTATTGGGCTTTTACTGCTGCTTTGAGATTTAGCTGAGAGAATTAAACTATGCCCTTTGCACTTCCTTGGGCTATTGGAGGAAGAAACCCAAATGAAATTAGTGTGACCATAAGAGCCATTAAATTCACAAAGATAAGTTTTGATTTAGCTCATCTTGAAGTCTGGTGATAATGGACATCCCTGAAGAAAAACAGCTTTCATAGGAGAATGTGCTGAGAGCATTTACCAAATGGACTAAAATTAAATGAAATTATGATCTATCCTTTTGGGTGGGTCCCTATGAGTAGGAACATGTGTTTCCCTGGGGACAAACAGCAATAGCACATCATTGTCCCCCAGGGAATGCCCATACCATGCACACTTTGGCGAGTGGCAAGTTACCCCAGGTGGGGTAGGAGAGGCTGGGGCCAGCACTGGGCAGGCCCTAGCAACCTTACTCGGTGTTCTGGAGGCCTCCCAGGGCTGCAGCAGCAATGATTCTGCTGCATGGACCTGGCTGGCAGTCGCATCACAGCTCTGGGCAGTCTGGCTCCACTTTTGAGCAGCATGCACTGCTTCTGCATGTATTGCTCCACTTTTTTTTTCTGTGGGTTTTTTTGACCCCTGGATATGTGTCCGGTCAGGCTCCATTTTCTGGCAGTGCACACTGCCGCCACATGGCACGACCCTGCTTTTTTTTTTTTTTTTTTTTTTAAGTGCAGGTTTTTTTGACCAGATGCACTGCCACTACTTGTCGCTGGGGCACCAAACATTCATGCTCACGTGGTTGCACCCACAAGGTCCATCTTTAGGCTCATTATACATAACTACTTTCTTATCCCTTATTCTGAGGACTAGCTGTCCCTTTGTAAAACAAATGCATGCTAGGATACAAAGTTGAAATGATATAGATATAAATTAAGTTCTTTAGAGGAGCAGATCTAAACATTTTACAATGAAAACAGTGCTTGTCACAGGGGAAATAAAGACATTGTTTGCTGGGGAGACCAACAGTAATTATAAGGACTTTCCAGAAGATAAATAAGCATTATTGCTATAGAACTGCTCACGGGCAATAAATCAATAGCTTCTGGATTGGGCCATGGAGTAGTTGACTGCATTGTCCAAATGTTTGTTCTAGGTTCAGACACTGCAGCAAGATTGAGCTAGATAAGAGGAGGAGAAGGAAAGGAAGCAGAAAAGGGATGAGAGAAATGAAGAACTGTGTGGAAAGAGATGGCAAAACATTTATTTGTTGGAATTTGCCAAATTATTGGAATCAGAAAGGACTGTAGGATAGTTCAATTGCACCAAAGTGGTAACAAGACCCTGCTTTTCCTAACTGGCCTGCCTTGCCCTAAGTGATTGGAAAACGGTTCAAATCTGTAACAACACAAATTCAGTGCCCACAAATCACTTTCAAAATAGCCAAAACCAGTTTAAGATAAACCTGGATGGATGTAGTATGACACTTAACAGATTTAGGTTAAATCAGTTTATTGAACTTCTGTCTCAGATCCCTTCCAGAGTCAAGTTAACTCACAGTCCCCCAGCATCCCAGGATGCTTTGCACCTGCCCTGAAAACCTGTCTCTGCCCCAACTGAGCAGGGAGGTGTGCTTTAGCATCCTGCCCCACCCTTCCCCCATCCCCCATCCCCTGCTTTTGGCACATGGCTGCATTTCCAGAATCAAAAGCGAATATCTGTTCACTTACTTATTGGTTCAATCTACACAGCTTAGTCTAACCTGCAAAGATTTAATCTATTCAACCTCTGGCTTTTTGAGTGTCTGTACTTAGCCTATGGCACATTCTTTCTCCCCTTGGATAAACCCTATCATTTCAGGTAACTTGGAAAGTGCACCACCACTTTCCCCCCAAACCTTAACTTCTGAAAAACTAATTTTTTGCTCTGCTAAATAAGCAGCCATTCATAGTGAAACATTTTGTAGTTGTTATCTATTTTATTTTATTTTTTTACTCTATTCCTTGTTATGCTGTCAAGATG